TAGCACTCTGGGAGGCGAGGCGGGAGGATCGCTGGAGGTCAGGAGTTCAAGACCAGCCTGAGCAAGAGGAGACCCCCGTTTAAAAAAAAAAAAAACTGTGATGAGATAACATACCAAACTATCAAATGGGTTCGGTAGTGGGTGTTGTTTATTATGCACTGAGAGATAACTAAGTCATTCTGAAATATCTGTCTTAATATATCCTTCATAAGATTTCTCATCCTAACTTCTCCATAGGTTACAATTCAGCATAACATTCTCTGTGGCCAGATGTGCCCCACTACTAAAAGGGCAAAGTAAGCTGTGTCTGCCTTGGTAGATACAATGAATAAGTGCACGATGCTATTAACATTCTCATCTCACAACCCCATGCCCGGATCAGCACTTTGCTCTAAAACTTTACCTGCATCTGTTTAAATGGCTTTTGATCACATGCCTACACATCTAGAATTCCTATTTATTCATTGAAAATTAGCATTCTTTATCCCTTTGTTTTGGGAGTTCAGCTTCTCAGAGATGGCTAAAATGGTCTAATCTTTCTTGCTATGGGCAATTCTGAGCTCCAGATTAGACTACAAGTGGCTTGGGTACATGTTGTCTTTAAACAAGCAAAGAGGAAAACTTTGAGCTCTATTCAGACTTGCTGAAGTGTGGTAAATTTATGATGAAAGCTACTGACTGTATTACACGTGATTAATTCTGAAGCCCATATTAATATGATCTTTTCAGCAGTTACTCTTCTAACTGAACACTGTTTCAAGGCTGGGATTTCAGCAATTATTCAGTTCAGAATTGCTAATGATCCTGGCAGAGGGCAGTGGCAAAAGGGGGAAGATGTCATTAGCTTCTCTAGCCTGCCTTTTTTCAGTGCTCTGTGGCAGTATGGAGCAAGGCAGCATGAAAGAAAGATGGCCTGACCTCCACTGCAATATTGCGCAGCACATAAGTATTGGTGTGAGTGGTGACAGCTAGTAAATGATGGCCCTTCGTAAACAAAGTTATTTACCAGATAGTAGCTACCAATTAGGCCAACTGTGTCCATAATGAATCTGGTTAATTTCTTTTACTGCCTATTGATTTTTATTTGGTTGATAGACAGTAGCTAGAGGACTCTAGACTTATTTTAGGAAGAATATGAGTCTCTTCCAATCCTCCTTTAAAGAAAGAATTGATAGTTTTTGCACTGACCTTCAGAAGCATCTTGATTTGAGTGTTTTGTGACTATCAGAGGGTTGAATCTTGGTTTTAAGCCACATATATCTTTAGCATAACTCTGTATGGGCTAGTTATCTCTCAGCTTATAAAGTATAGGCTGATAAATCTAAATTATAGTGTCACTATACAAAGAAACTGTCTTAGGAAATCAAATAATATCTGCTATTAAAGACAAAAATTAATATTTTGAATCCTTGGTTGTAATTCCATGTCTTCTAGCATAGACTATTTTAGAATTTCTTCCTCTGTTTTGTACATAATTTTTATTAAATTATTTATTTTGGGACTTCAGGCATGTTAGAATAAAAAAGATAACACCCTTTCTGAGAAAAATGGAGACTTAAAGCTAGGATAACTAATATTCTAAGCTGTGTACTAAAGGTAATTTATTATAATGTAATATTTGATTTGATTTCAGATGCTTGCACACAAGTTTGCCAGAAAACACCACATCACCTTAACTAATCTAATTACTGAAGAGACTACTCATGTTGTTATGAAAACAGGTATACCAAGAACCTTTACAGAATACTTTGCATCTGGTACATAAAACCACATGAAGAAATAGGAATATTTGTTAAGCATATCATGAATAGTAGTCTTCTAATAGTCAATCAGTTATTACTTTATAAAAGACAAACGATAGTTTTGCTACTTCCTGACCCCCTTTTGTTTTGAGTTAAGATTTAGAGGGTCGTGAGCCAGAAGGAAGAACCGTTTCTTCCTGTCCACCTGCCTGGAATGCATTGGGTGCAGGCCTTTCTGGTGAGGCAGGGTTCAAGTTCTAAAAGAACAAGTGAGGCACAGGGGAATGGGGCAGAAGCAAATCTTCGTTTGAAATCTGGAAACCCTAGCTTTGTGTAATACCTAGTTTGAGTGTGGTTGAGAGTTTTTCAGGAAACAAATCTGATAACAGTCTGAGATAGTCCTAATGTATGAAAAAGAACAAAAAGGGGACAGATCATTTGTCCCGCACCTTCCCCTTTTTAAATTTTTTAATTGTGACCTGTGTGATAAAGGAGACCTGTGGCAGTTTTTTGTCGACTATAAACTAAATCTGAGTAAACATTTCAGGACTGCTAAAAAAAACCTTATTTGAAATTGGGCCTTATTAATACAATCCTAATGTCTGAAGCAAGTGAAGTAAAGATCCAGACCACCACTGTATTCTTTCTTGGGATGATTGCCTGGAAGATGATGCCCTCTGCTCTGAGCACCAAGCTTTCTTTTTAATATGGTCAGTGACAAACTAAAGTGTTTACCCAGAGGTTGATGGGAAAAAAGGAACTTAAAATAATGTCTTTTGAAGAAGAAATGAGGGAATGAGAAGATTTAAGGGAGCAAGACACACTGTCTTCAAATATCTCAAGAAATGTTTTCTAGAAGAGGAGTTAGACTCACTCCTGGAGCTCCAAAAAGCAGACAAAGACCAGTGCATGGAGGCTGCAGGAGATGCAGATTGTGACTCAACTCTAACAGCTTTCTAACAAAATCCATTCTCTGAACATATTATGGTCCTCTCCAGGATGATTCTTTTCACAGAGCTTCACCTGCTTGAGCAGAGGGTCCAAACCCCTTGGATACATTGGCTTAGAACCTCTAAGATCTTAGGTTTCTACTGTATGAAAATTATAACACAGGGTCAGAGGGTAGGGCTCGCTGGTCCCAAGAACTAGAACAAGTTACTACAAACTAATTACTATTTTAAAGACAAATGTCATTAAAGTTTAATATCTTAAGCTATAGGTTCAGATTAAAGCTGATGAAAGGTGAAAAGAAAACTTTAAAATGCAAATTAAATCTAAATTAATCTAGTTCAGTCTTTAAACTCAAAGGCAATACAACATTTGCTAATTTTAAACCAAGAGTGAGCTAAAATTTCTAACTTTAAAGCATATTATAAAATCAGTTTTGTAGCAGTTTTTTTTATTAATAAAAGCTTCAAAAATTGTAAAGAATATTCAGTGAGGGAGAATAGCTGCTGCTATTGCTTGCAGATGACCTACTGTGTTTAGGATTTAGTTAAATACATTTCTCATGTTTAAAACTAAATGGTCTTTCTTCAATTTGCTTAGTTCTTCAAAAGGGCCTTTAAAACACTAGGAAATAAACAGAAGTGCTTCTTCAGAGACTGCTTTCCGAAATACTTATGTAGATAAGAGAAAAGCTATGAAAATACTTTGTATTTTCCTGTCCCTCTCAGGGAAATATTAGGGGGTTAGGATTCCCCAGGTAGAATTTCTGGGGGTGCAAATTTGTTATGTTGACATTTTAGATTTAGGATTTCAACAATACCATTTTCTTCGCCTTTCACGTATTCTCATCCAGTAAGATAGATCTTCTCCATACACATTAATTAATACCACTGACGTGGATAATTCCTTGAACACAAAATTAGAGATACGTAGCTAGCCTGGGCATATGAAAGATGGGGCAGACGTTTCCTCTAGTCTTAACTTTGTACCAGCCTCTTCCTGGCTTCCGAAGATCCACACCTGCTGGTTATACTTAGTGACATTTCCAGCCTCTGATTTTATCACCAGGAGTGTCAGAACCATCAATCCAGATTGATCTTGAGAGTGTGAGTAGCAGAGGCTCTAGCTTCTTAGGGCAGCACTTCCCGATTTTGTTTTCTACTTATAATCCCTTTGGAATGTTTTTCATTTTGCAGATGCTGAGTTTGTGTGTGAACGGACACTGAAATATTTTCTGGGAATTGCAGGAGGAAAATGGGTAGTTAGTTATTCCTGTAAGTATAATACAATATCTCCCCTCCTCCCTTTAACACCTCAGAATTGCAGTTTTACACTTAACATTTTAACACCTGAGGTTTTTGCTGATGCTCAGTCTGAATTACCAAAAGATCTTTAATGGTGACACAAAACTACCTTTATCTTTAATGCATGTCGCTTTGTTCAGATAAACTGGTAATGTTGGGAAAATGGATTTCTTTTATAACTAATAGGACCTAATCTGCTTCTAGCAATGTTAGCATATGAACTAGGGATTTATTTAATAGTGGGCAGAAATCCATGTGCAGCAGGCATGCTTATAATGTTTAAATTAAACATCAACTATGTCTCCAGAAGGAAATCTCTGCTACAAGCCTTATTCTTAAAGAGCTGTGGCTTTAGAGGGAGAGAGGACCTCTCCTCTGTCATTCTTCCTGTGCTCTTTTGTAATTCACTGACCTCTCCATCTCCTTGAAAAGAGCACTTTCTTTTTTTTTTTCTTTTTTTTTATTTCAGCATTATTATGGGGGTACAGATGTTTAGGTTACATATGTTGCCCTTGCCCCCCCCAAGTCCGAGCTTCAAGCATGTTCATCCCCCAGATGGTGCGCGTCGCACTCTTTGTGTATGCATATACCCGTCCCCTCCTCCCACCTCCCCCTTGCCCAACATCCAATAAATGTTATTATATGTGCACTTGTGTGTTGATCAGTTAATACCAATTTGATGGTGAGTACATGTGGTGCTTGTTTTTCCATTCTTGGGATACTTCACTCAATAGAATGTGTTCCAGCTCTATCCAGGAGAATACAAGAGGTGCTATATCACCGTTGTTTCTTAAAGCCGAATAGTATTCCATGGTATATATATACCACATTTTATTAATCCACTCATGTATTGATGGACACTTGGGTTGTTTCCACATCTTTGCAATTGTAAATCGTGCTGCTATAAACATTTGGGTCCAGGTGTCTTTTTTATAGAGTGTCTTTTGTTCTTTTGGGTAGATGCCCAGTAATGGGATTGCTGGATCAAATGGTAATTCTACTTGTATCGAAAAGAGCACTTTCTTTTGCTCTATGTGACCTGTCTTTTCTGTGATCTCTTTAGGGGTGACCCAGTCAATTAAAGAAAAAAAGATGCTGGATGAGGTAAGTACTTGATGTTACAAACCAGAGAGACTTGGTGCCGTTGAGTCACATAGTCACAAAAAATGTGTCTGCTTCCTTCCATGAATGCACTATTTCCCACGAATTTTCCTTGATGATGGGGATCAACAGGAGTTAAAAAGAGCAAACCAGGAATTCTGTTTCTCATGTGTTCTAGGTTTCAAAAGAAACAGTCCTTTCTTTAGGGGGCAAGGGAAAGGAATTTAAAAAGTGGAAAGAAAAGATACATAGAGACAAGAAACAGGCCCACCTGAATCTTACGTGCATACGCTTTTGTAGAAAACTGGCTGTTCACTGTTGTTGAAGAATTCTTCATATTAATATGCAAATTTATCTGTTTAGAAATCAGACTCCTTCAAAGAGATGTTGCTCTTTATGATTCTGAGAACAGTGAGAGGTAAATAAGATAGAGTGTAGGAGGAGGAATAATTTTAGAACAGCCATCTAAGAGCTCCCGGTGACGACAGATCAGACAAAATAAAATTAGTAAAAGCAGTTTTAAGCTATTATGCACTATTCAGTGTATTCATAATTAATTAAATCACACTTTTGTTGGTTTTAGCTTTCATTCAGTGACTATTTATAGGGAGCCTACTGTGTGCTGGGCACTAGGAATACAACAGTAAGCAAGACTGACCGGGCTGGGCACAGTGGCTCACGCCTGTAATCCCAGCACTTTGGGAGGCCGAGGCCAGCAGATCACGTAAGGCAGAGATTAGGCAAGGGATGGGAGAAAGTCATAGACAGGGGCCAGATCAGGTAGTATTTAGTATGGTAAGGAATTCACATTCTCAGGGTAATTGGAGGCATGAGATGGTAAGAAAAGGTTGATTTGGGATTTGTTTGTTGAACATAGGACTTGCTAGCGGGTTAAATTTGGAGGATAAGGTAAAGAGGAATCGAAGGTGTGACTCTTGGATTTTGGCCTGAACAATAGGGTCATGTTAGTAATATTAAATTAGAAAAGGAAAGACACTGGAGAAGAGCACATAGAGGGGAGGACAGGAGTGGAATCAGGAGCTCTGTTTTAGATGCATGAATTTTGAGATTTATACTAAACATCTGGAAGAAGAGGTTAAGTAGGCAATTGGACACATTGTATGAAGCTCAGGGGTGCAATCAGGACTATAAATATGGGAGGCATCTTCAAATAAATGACAAATTTATCACTAGACTCTTCTTGTACAAGTGACTAGGAAATGTTAAGTGTTCTTCCCCTAGTAACAGCCTGTGGTTATACATTAAGTCCCAGTGAGGTGAAAAGCCAGTTGTTGATTTCTGCACACAAAGATTTGCTTCATTGAATTGATTTCAACAGCTGAGATTCTGGTCATTTCACCCAGTCCACCAAAAGAATGATTTTATTTATTTATTTTTGGTCAAAGCTCTGCCTGGCAATTCTTAATGCCTTAAATATGTGTCTGCTCCACTTCCATTGAAAGAGACTTCTCTTTCTCTGATCCTGATGATTGGTATTTGGTTTCTTTCAGCATGATTTTGAAGTCAGAGGAGATGTGGTCAACGGAAGAAACCACCAAGGTCCAAAGCGAGCAAGAGAATCCCAGGACAGAAAGGTAAAGCTCCTCCCTGCCCCCCAAAACCCCACCCCATCATTCTACATTTCAATCCCCTCCATGGAGATGGTCCCTTTTATCTTGTAAGGCTCATTACATATATGCTACTAGAGCACTAGCAGGATGCTTTCACAGAACTGCTATTTTATTTCTTCTGGCCCAACAAGGTAAATAAGTATTGTCTCTACTTTATGAATGAAGGAACTTAGAGCTTTAGAGAGGCTGTGTAGTTTGGATTCCAGTCTGGGCTTCAAATCTCAGCTAATAAGTGGCAGAGCTGGGACTTTAAACAGATGTGAATCTAAAACTTTTGCTCTTTCCACTTTACTGGCATGTCTTTCTCTAAAGCAGTGTGGTAAGTGCTCTGAGTGGGGTTTACACGGTGTGGTCTATGGATGCATAAAAGAGGAAGTAATTAATAACCAATAATAGTTATCATTTATATAATGTTCACTATATGCCAAAGACTTCTGTAAATATTTGACTGTATTTTAACTAATTAGAAATTTTACAACAACCTTATTAAGTATGTGCTATAATTATGCCTATTTTACAGATGAGAAAATATAGGCTCAGAGAGGTTGAATAAGTTGTCCAAGGTCACATAGCTAGTGAGTGATGGAACTAGAAGTGGAACCCAGATGGTCTAGCTCTAAGTCTAAAATCTTAATACTATAGTTTCTTGAAAAGTTATAGAAGGCTTCACAGAGGAGAAAAACAGCTTATTGCAACAACTTTGCAAGGGTCCAGGAAGACTCAGTGACTTTCCCCAGATCATGTTGTAGCAGATGGTGTAGCCAGAACCATGTCCTCTGCTGAGGGAGAAGTCCATGCAAGATTTCACACCTGCATGTCAGGCCTGAGCTGGCTGCTTTCTCGGGTTATTGACTAAGTGCTTATGTTCCTGGCCTGCTTTTCTTCCTTTTCCAAGTGTGCGCCACCAGTCATTTCAGAACATCCCCATACGGAGCGCCTTCTGTCCTTTTATAGAAATTTGAGAGAGAACTTATAGAGGTGATTTTCTAAGGAAAACTGCTTTGAGAAATGATCACAGATCAAGCCTGGAGTTCTGAATCCTTGAGATCAGCCCATCCTCACCCTCTGAGCCTATCAAGTAACTGTTCCAGATGCCAAGAAAAGATGCTGGCTCTGTTTATGCTGTTGCCTTCACCCCAGGGGAGCTCCATGTGAGCCAGTCATTTGTTTTTACTCCACTGTGTGCACGGCAGAATTAGCACCAGATTCAAAGGAAATTCTAGTGCTTTGGGTTTTTTCCTCTATTCAGGGTAGCAATGATAGAAAGTACCTGGTTAGAGTAATGGCATTCTGAAGATGCTAACTGTCACCATGGTATTTTCCTCTGGAAGAGACATGTATTTGTAGAGGTGAAACTTCGAATTTATCTCATAACTAGACATCCTCGTCAGTGAGTGTCAGCCTGGATGTAAAAAATTTTAATCTTTTGTACTTTTCATGGCAGCATTTGGCTCCAACTGGCTGCCTGGGGAGAACTTTTAGCTTTATGAGCATCTAGGTCCTGTCAACAGGTTGGGAGTGCAGTTTATTCATACATATAGTGAGATTGGCACAGATGGAGACTGTCACTTAAAACAGAAACAGACTTGTCCTGCTGTCCTTTCTTTTCCCTCTGGCTGTAGTTAGAGAGAGTGTGTGTGTAGGGAGAGAGGGACCATTTCTTAAAGGCCATCTGTGTTTTTAGCTCCCTGATTTTTCTCTATCCCAGTCTCTTTGAGGCCAGGTGAATTCTAGGCTTAGGCAGTTTTCTTTTTAGTGGAATAGAAAGAGGGTAAGGAGAATGAGAGTTACCCAAATATATCCATTTGCTGACACAAATTTAGGTTTCTTTTAAATGATACCCAAGTTCTTTCATAAGAACCCGTGCCCAATGTATGTGTAAGAATTTGCACTGTTCAACACAGTTGCCACCAGCCACATGGGACTGTTTAAATTTAAATTTTAAAAAGCTAAAATATAAAGTTTAGTTCCTCATTCACCCTAGCCACATTTCAAGTGCTCAACAACCACACATGGCTCATGGCTACCTTACTAGCGCAAATATAAAACATTTCCATGTCACAGAAAGTTCTTTTGAACAGTGTTGCCAAGCGGTGCAAGTGGGAGAGGCCCCTGGGAGGTGCAGCGTGATCTGTGTCTCCAGGAAAGCCGGCAGTCAGGCCAGCTTAACGAGGAGAGACAGAATGGGGCTTCACTTCTAGATTAAAACTGCTTAGGTTACTTGAAGATACAGTGGCCATTCCCAGAGCAATGTGAAAGAAGGAACAGATGTTTGGGGACCAGAAGAAAGTCAGAGGAGAAAAGGAGCATGTACACATAAAATCAACGTAGACCTGTCTGCTGATGGCGTCGTGGTCAGTATTGATGTACCAAGTCTGGATAAACATCAAACTTCAGCCAATAGCTTTGAACTTCTTGCCATCCAAGCCTTTTATTAAACAAAAGAAGGATACTTTTTTTTCCCTCTCATGTCTAACAAGAAGTGAAATCTCTTCAGATGTCATTAGGGAGGAGCCCAGGCCTGATTAGTGGCAGAGTGGGATGCTCAGTCCTTGAATGACAGAGAATGACTGTAGAATGTAGATCAACTATGTAGGCACTTGAAAAAAGCCTTCCTGAAATCCATCAGTGTTCTCGACATTGGATTGATTGTCTCTGGGAAGTAACAGCAGAAACTGTCAGGTGGTAAAGAAAAAAAGTTCCTTCAACCTGAAAAGGCTGATTGAAAAAAAGTTCTTCTTTTGTACAAGT